CCCCCCCCCCCCCCCGCTGTCGTTTCAGGGTTCCTGAAGGGCCAAGAGGCCTTTAAACCGAGGATAAGGCGACGTTTGGGGTTTTGGGTTTAGGGTTTAGGGTTTAGGGGTTAGGGTGTAGGGTTTAGGGTTTAGGGTAGTATGTGTGGTGTGATTGTATATAGGTTGCAAGCTTGTTGAGTCTGGAGGTTTGCATGGTGATTCCACCGTATCGCAGGATCTTTGGGGATTCTATGGGGCATGTGGGCATCGCAGCATCAAGCACATGACTGGCATGCCTTGCTGTTGCTCGTGGTGACCTTTGCTGCATTTGCCAGTGCTTCCTTGGAGAACAATCGTTGCCGCGTAATCCTAAACAATCTGGGAACCGCCTTGAGCTGCGCAATGCTGATGCAATGGCAGGAAATTCATGAAGTCTTTGCGTTTGACGGCTACGCTGCCAGAGTACCATATATAGAGCAACACTTCGTCATTCTAGTTGGCGCGAGTTTCTTCATCTTGCTGGAGGTTGACCGTGTCAACGGCCGAACGAGGACACGCGAGGCCCTTCAGCTCAGCCGTCAGTTTCACGGCAGCATTGCACATGCAAAGTGTTCCAAAGCCTCCGACGGGCAACGTATCTTCATGGAAATCGGCGAGAAGACGTCTGCAGTGGATTATGCGATCCACGTGCTCCTTGCAGCTGGGATACTGGGTTTTTGTTCAGGAGCTTAGCTTACAGTTGTGGTAGCAGGGATAGATGGTGCAATCGCATGCTTTGCTTGTCATGATAGCTGACGCGGAGATCGTAAACACCTGTAGAAAGAAAATAAATAAAGAGCAGGCAAATAGACATAAAAAGCCTGCCTAAACCCTTGTTAAAGCCCGAGAAGAACTCAAATAAGAACCCAGGATGTCGACTCCGACGCTTCGCGAGGTGGCTCGTGCAGGAGTCGACATACAGAATGCAGGCTATGCCGAGGTTGCTGTCCCTGTTTGGGCGCTTCTAGACAGGATTTGGATGTGGGGTTTAGGGGCCATATATATATATATACACATGTATTCGATTTGTTTACTTTTATGCATGTGGGTCATACGATGTACTTTCGAGGTTCTTGGTTTACGGGTTGTGTTGTAGGTGATTCTGGGATACTCTTATAATGTCCCTTCTTGTGGGGGCCCTTGACTGACAACTCAGGTTCATGACTAGCCTGGTGACTTGTGGCCACGTGGTGTTCGACATCGTCTACAGAGACACCCCGTGGTATTGTCTCTTCTTTGAAGGTATCAGCTTTCTTGCTCGGGTTGCTTTGCTCGGCCTCTTGTGGCAAAGCGACAGGGATGAAAGATGCTTCATCTTAAAGATGATGACCAAGATTGTCGTGCTTTACGTACTTCTTGCCAGCCCAATGGTGTTTGTGTGGGAGTGGAGGGCATCTGAAACTCGGCGGTTTGTATGATACATTTGTTGAGTCTGAGGTCTTCTTTCCACATAGGAACTATTGGGCTTCTCGGTGCGCAGAGTGCAGTAAAAGCGACAGATATAAAGCTTCACGGACAACTAGCTGTACATGGTTACAGGAAGTTCACATACATGCGTGCATGCATATATATATATATATATAGAGAGAGAGAGAGACACGGAGGCATACAAATATGCATGTCGCTGGTTGCGCAGTACATGTTATATTATGCCAGGCAGGCTGGTGTATGAAGCTTAGCTTAACATGCACCCACATATGCACACGAGTACTTCTGAATTGCCCTGCTGATATACTAGGTATAAACTCTAAACCCTAAACCCCAAGCCCTAAACCCTAAACTCTAAACCGTAAACTCTAAATCCAAAGCCCTAAACCGTAAGCTCTAAACCCTAAGCCCTAAACTCCCCCTAAAACCGAAACCCTAAACTCTAAACCCTAAGCCCTAAGCCAAGCTACAAGGAAAGGCATTCTCCGAATCGAGCTTGGTTTGTCATGCCTGCCCTGGTCTACACGTCCATCCTCGCTATCTCTTGTGGCTTGGAAGCAACCCTAAACCCTAAACCTTAAACCCTAAACCCTAAACCCCATCCTCGCTATCTCTTGTGGCTTGGAAGCTTCCGGGATGATTCAGGCTTTATTTCGGGCTTAGGGTCTAGGGCTTTGGGGTTTAGGGTTTAGGGTCTAGGGGTTTAGGGTCCAGCGCTTTAGGGTTTAGGGTTTGGGGTCCAGGGCTTTTGGGTTTAGGGTTTAGGGTCCAGGGCTTTAGGGTTTAGCTTACGGTCTAGGGCCTTAGAGTTTAGTGCTTAGGGTCCATGGCTTTAAGGTTTAGGGCCAAGTGTAGGGCTTACTGTAGCTCTGGGGTGTATGAGTCTCTCAGTGCCAGAGTACGCAACATTACGAACCCATTTCACATCACAGGGGTTTAGGACAGCTGCCCCAGGTTGAACATTGCCTGGAGTACGTAAGTCAAGAAAACTGCCTTAACCGAGGAAGCCTCTAAACCTTGAGCCTATGAGCCCCAGATCGCCCAATCCTACGCCCTAAACCCTGACACCCTACACCCTAAACCCTAAACCATATCCTAAACCCCGAACACCGACGAACTATGCCGTCGGTGAGTCGGTGCCTCGTCTTCCTCTCGTCCGAGTACGAGAGGTAAACCCCTAGACCGTCCAATTGTGGGTATTGTGGTCTTTGTGAGTTCTATACAGGGCTTAGGAATAACGAGTCAGCAAGATTGGGCTCCTTGTCGTCCTTATAGTTCTTATATACTTACACAGGAATGCATCCATTCATCCCTACACCTTTACACGCTACACCCTAAACCCTAAACCCCTACACCGTACAAGCCTACGGAGCAGTCAGACATTCTGGCTGGAGCCCTGCGCAACCATGCGTCACTAGCCCAACAGCTCTCGAGTTCACCATCTTCCCCGTTAGGGTTTAGGGCTTGATGCAAAAAGGGTTAGGATGAAACAATGACAATTGTAAGCAACTTGCTGAATGCTATAATGCACTATTGGGTCAGAGTCATTGGCAACTTCAGTCGGGTCGACCTGTGTCTATATCCCGACATTCCTTACATGGCTCGTTAGCCTCCGAGTATCGTCGTATTCTCAAGAAGGCCTCCTATGCACCTACTTAGTGAAGAGTAGGGTTTCCCGTTTAGGGCTTGGGAACAGGGTAGGACTTTTTGGAGGTACTGTAAGAATCGCTAAGATATGCCCCTAGTTCCCCTAGGAAAGGACAAGTATGAAGTACATCTGTCTGTTGAGTTCTGAAAGTGACCCTACACGCGGCTGCAGATCCAAAACTCGAGACTACTCCTGCGTTGCAGGGGCTGGAAGCAGATAATGTAGGGGCCTTAACAATTAGAATAGGATTTGCGGGCTCCTTATAATAATCACAGTCTAATCTACCCCCAAACCCTATTCTAATCATCAAGGCCCCTGTATTAAGCACTTCACGAAGGTCTTGGTATGCGTCGCGTGCTGGCCTTGCCCGGGCATGGGCAATGCTTGCTACAACTCTTCCTGGCTCGCGGGCGCAGCATCTTACCCAGTGCCCGATCTTGTGAACATTTGGGGGGTTCCGAAAATAGGGACCCTAATATAGTACCCTAAATAATAGGATCCTTATTATAAAGGCCCCAAACTATGGTACCACTTTTTTCGGAAACTCCCATTTTGCTTTGTCTCTACTTCCATATGCGAGGGGCTCCGGCTTATTGGAAGGATAGCTCTGTTAGGTGTGTAGTCACATTTCGTCACAGCAGAAGCAGTAGCAGTAGCGGTAGCAATAGGAGCAGCAGGAGCAGCAAGGGTAGTAGGCGCAGCGGTAGTTCGTAGTAGCAGTATTATTAGTCGTCGTCGTAGCTGTCGTGGTAGTAGTAGTAGTAGTAGTAGTAGTAGTCGTAGTCGTCGTCGTCGTCGTCGTAGCAGAAGCAGTAGTAGTAGCGGCAGTCGTAGTGGTAGTAGCAGCACATACCTTTCACCAGCCTCCAGGCCCAGGAATCCCCCTGACTTGCTGCAGCTTTTCTTTGCAACCCAACTCTTGCGAACGTATTTCCAAGCCTTAAATTCCAAACCTTACTGAACCGTAAGTACAAACCTTGAACCCCGAAAAGATCCTTACACTCTAAACTCTAAACCGGCTCAGGTGCTCTTTCCTTCTGTGCCTTACGCCCCGACTCTGACTCGGAAAGCGAATCTGCCGCATCCTTGCTCTCCACGGACTACAGCTCGGAGTAGTCCGCGAGCAGCACAACCGTGGCAAAGGGTGATGGCAGTAGGCATAGTTAAGGTATAGAAACACTACCTATATATTTCTTGTATAACTCGTATGTATTCACAGCGACTTTTTTTGTATGCTTCTGCATGCGTAAGTATATACACATGTAAGTAAGTAAGTAAGTAAGCAAGTATGTATGTATGTATGTATGTATGTATGTATGTATGTCTGCTTGTTTCTTTCTTTTGTTGTATGTATGTTTGTTCTTTTGTATGTTTATACATGTGAGGAGAGAGAGAGAGAGAGAGAGACACAGAGAGAGAAAGAGAGAGAGAGAGAGAGAGTGAGAGAGAGATAGAGACAGACTGAGACTGAGACTCGGATCGATGGAACCTTAAATGCTAGGCGGAATAATCCGGAAGCCCTCAATTTCTGCAGCCTGGGGAGTGTCTCATGCATGGAACAAACCGTCTCAGGTTTGAGCCCATGAGCCCCCTAAGCTTGCCCAACTAAACCCTCAAGGTCGAAGTCTGCAGTCTTCACCAATCACACCCGCCACAAACCCCACGCACACAGACATCAGATAGACAGAGCTACATGGGTGGTTGTCAAAATTAGGGTCCCTTTTTGGGTCCTTATTATAATACGGCACCTATTATTTAGGGTACCCCAAAAGGGACCATAATTTAGAAAACTACCCACATGAAAGAAAGCTTGGCCGGCAAGGCAATGGCTCTTTTGGAGGGATCCTTTCCTTTCTTTTCTCAAGCTATAAGAGCCATGGTTCGAGTCTGATATGGGAAGGTTAACAAAGGCCGTGGTCAGCTTCTGAGTTCCCGCAGATGCAGAAAAACCTAAGCATGCGCGGGGTTCAGACTAAGGTTGCCTCATTTTTTGGCGTCCCTAAGATCCGAGATGCTTGATGGTCTGGTCCTCACATGCTGTCAACCGTAGGAACCTTGTCGGACCGCCTCATACACAGTTATAGACATTCCACGAAATCGTTGGTTCAGGTGTGGTTTAGGGTTCAGGATAGTTCCTTGCGGACTTGGCGGATTGACATCCAATTCTCAGCAGGTTCTCGTGGCTCTATGTGGGTGTCTTGTAGGGCTGCCGAGTTGTAGGCTCTAAACCGGAGGTTCACAGCCGAGGATGGGAGCCTCTTTGTTTTGCACGTTCATCCCCATGCAAGCCCCGTAAGCCAAGTCAGGTCAGCAAACACCTGCAATAATCCTCGCCCCTAGACGCTAGACCATAATCTCCAAATCTTCACAGAACCTGGTGAACCCACAACTTTACCGAGAGCACCTACTATTGCCACGTAGGTTTGGTCTACCGTTTGCAGCCGGTAACCCCACACCCTAGTATCGGTTTGGCGCAGACCTGCAGCAAGCCATGCAGCGGTCTTCAACAAGATACACCACGTGGGAGGCTCTTGCTTTGCATGAGTCCGTTCCTGCAGACCGCTGGTGTGTGACTCACTCAGACCTGAAATACTTGCGGCATGAAGTTCGGACGCTAAGTCTTTCAGTAGAACTTTATGCAAGGTTATTTTGGGGTATGCTTACAAGAACACATTGAGAATAGAAAAGGGTTGCCATCTTATTCAGGGGCTACCGAAGATCCTAGGAAGGCTATTCAGACTGGCGAGATTCGCCCGCCAGATGACGGCTCTGACGCTTTTCATCTCTCTGACAACGAGTACCTTTGCCTGCTTAGGTTAGAGCTCAGGGTTCAAAGTTTCTGTAGAGTCCTAGTATAAGCCTGAATGTCAAGTGCGTGAGGACCCTACAAAACGTCAACTACAGTTCGGTAAGGTATGGGCCGAGCATTTACACCGTGAACATGCAGCACATCATGCCAGTGACCGAGAAAGCTGGCAAAGTTAGCTGGGCTTTGATGCGACACCCGGATGGCTTGGAATGTGACTTGTTCATCAGTCACGCATGGCAAGAAGGTGTGTTCGAGTTCCTGTCCAAAGTCTTACATTCTTGGCCCAGAGCCGCACGACATGCCTGGTGCTGCATGCTGGCCAACCCACAGAATCTGGATGTTGGAGCCTAGGCAGGCCTTTGGTGGGACATTTTATATTTTCCCTTATCAGGCTTAAGAGGATCCTATTTACGAATATTTACCCTAAGCCCTAAGCCTTAAACTTCAAAGGGCCAGCCTAGGAGCATTGCTGCAGTCTCCGCGCACCTCGCCCTTTGCGCTCGCTCTCCGGGCCTCCAGCCACGTCCTTGTGGTGCCCAACCGCCACTGCAGCATCTACACGAGGCAAGGCTACATTCCCAAAGGGTCCTAAGTACCTATACAGTAGAAGCTAGGGTGTCTTTTTAAGAATCGTCAATGAGGAGCCATTATTCTGATTTGGGAGAGTATCCCCCATACCAGTATCCAGGACCGCTTGGGGTTCAGGAAGGCAAGATAGCACTGGGCCTCAAGAAGCTTTAATTTCATATCGGGAAATATAGATCAAGGGGCCGGAAGAACAAAAGTAAGATACAACCCCCCCTCCCCCCCCCGCCCCCTCGCAGGGGTTCCCCTAGGTTTCATCTATGTCGACAACCATCACTGAGCCGGATTGTTGACATCTTTTGATTGTCCCTTCCGATAGTCCATACTGAGGTATAACATGGTATAACTATAGAACTAATCTAGAACAATTGCACGTATTGCATTGCCCTGCATGTGTCCTTCTCGAGTTGCTCCTCTGCGGGAACGCATCCAAAACATAGCAAGACGACAACCGGTGATGCCGATATCCGTGTACGGCAAGCTGCTGTCAAGCGCGCTAGGAAAGCCCTAAACCCCAAGACTTTGGGTGGCAGTGCATATATCCACCGGCCTCATTTGACATGCGCCCCGTGCAACGAAACTGAAACGTGCTTGGCCGTTGTAGTTCGAAGTCGCAGATGTGCGAGCTATCCTTGCTATCATGATCGATGCCCAAAGCCCTTAACCGTAAACCCCAAGTCTTGTTCACCAGAAGCTCTGGGCCCAGGACGTTGCAGCACAGCCTCCATCACTCCAAGCCGACCTTGTAAGCAGTCTGAATCCCAAGTCCTGACAACACGCAAACCGAAATTTGTAAAGCCCTGAAGCATCGAGCCCAAAAGCCGAAGACAGTGCAGCCTAGTCTGTGCTGCGGAGGCTATGGTGCAGCTATGAGGCATATGTTGCTCACGAAGCTGGCAAGACGATCTCCATTGCCACAAAATCCAACAGGAAGCTTGGATGGGGGTTCCATGGATAGAACGCAGAGTTGTTGCAGATTCGTGCGACACAAGCAGCACGCATGCGAACCTTTGAAGCCTCACCAAACGCACCGTGTTGCACAGAATCTCGAATACATACCAAGTTCCAGCATGCATGGAAAACGATGTGAAGAACCATCATATATACTTGTGCTTTAGCAGTGCCGACAAGGTCCCAGGTCTGAGTTCACATCCCGGCGATAGAGCCTAGCTTTGCCAAATGGCAGGCTATTGGCGTTGCACAAGGTGTGCTCTGCAATAGATATAGAAGCTTGTAACCAGCTCCACATGGCAGATCAACATCACCTTTGCTTCTGCAGGAGACGTTTGATTGCTGCCGTCGTTCGGACCTTGTTGGCAGGCCTGGTGCCCCTTTGCGGGGTGTGCCAGCGAGGGTGGGGGAGGTTTTGGGTTCACCTCAGACCCAGGCATAACAGCACAATGCACACATACACATTTATTTATATATATATATATATTTCCCCTCCCCTGATCCACCATCGGTGGGTCACGGGGAGTGGGCGGAACACGCACAGTGTAACTGAAACTACTGCAAGCCGGAAGTCTCCTGCTGCGTTGGTTGTTGTACTGTACGACATGCGATGTGGTGTCTTCTATTGTGTGTTCATGTATACTAAGGTCCTTAAACGTCATGTTGTTAGACGGATAGTTCATATTATCTTGCTTCGGAGCTTGAGGTTTAGAGCCGTATTCAGGTAGTTATAGAAACACGATTAGATGATGTTGCTCATGATTCAAGCTTCTACATCGAGTTGTAAAGAAATTAATGCACACTCCTATTCTTCATCATATGTAATTACCGTAAAGAGTACCCCGAAGCCCCGCGTTTTGGGCTTTTTCATGTTTCCAGACCCGTGAGGATGTCTGACTGCTCATGATATACGATATGCTCTGATGTGAGTAGTGGAAATCCAACACCGCTAATCAAATCAATTAAAGGTTATGGGCTATATATATATATATATAAGACAGTTGCAAAATCAGGCAATATCGTAAATTTGGCTTGAACATCATATGAATGGTAAACAGTTCTTTGATGGTCAGTATTTTCTTCATATTACCACCGCAAGTATGTGCTATATATATATATATGTATCATGTGTTTACTACTTAGCTAATAGATGATGAGGGGAGATGTAGTATGTGTTTGATAGTTTGTTGAATACTTCAACGACACCTGGTCAATATGTTCACAGCTTTTGTTTGAATATTCGTTTGGTGTTTAGCTAGCATTCAATATAAGGTGACATATGAAGTTGCTACGTAGTGAGCACTATTTAGTGAGCATTTTATAAGACATGCAGTACAATGTAGCCCAATGCTAGACTAGCATTGACCTACGGAACAATATCTAGTATATATACTGTCAGTGCCTTAAATGTCGACAGATATTGCCTGAAAGACTCGTCTGGTAGTTTGTTGTCTTTCTTCAATATCGAACTACCATTATGAGACATGCCGAGTAATGATTAATCTGGCTTCGCATTTGTTAGTGATGAACTATTCGACCAACATCTCATGCATATACATGTGGTGTTAGGGAAATATTTAGAAGATAACTGACCGCAAGTTAGATCAATAGTTGTTAAGCTCCGTGCATGTTAGTCAGTCCTCAACAACTATCGAATCACCCTTATAAGAGGTGCTTAGTAATTATTGGTTTTGCTTCGAAATTGATAGTCATGAAACAGTAAAACCGCTTTGCATTTGATATTCATGAAATATTCGACCAATAGTATACCTAACGCGTTTTTGGTAATACGGAAATATTTAGAAGATAGCTGACGACAAGTGCAGGACAATATCAGCAGTTGTTAGATAGTGATCATTTTGTTCATTCCCCAAAATCGAAATATCGTTACAAGAGTTACTTAGTAGTGGTCAATATCGCTCGGTGTTGGATTTCCAAGAATGGTTGATATCGCTTGGCATGTGATATGAATCATTCGACCGATATCTCATGATTCCACACATACCTGACACGTTATTGTTTTTCAAGCAATATTTGGAAGATAGCTCAGAAGTAAACGACATAATTGACATCTGATAGATATTGTGCATGTAAGTAATATTCAATGGTGCTTAAATGATACCTCGCCAGTCTGNNNTCAGTGATACTAAGCCGAATATTTGCTTGCTGTTTTTCAGATGTTTCATTTATATGCACTATGCTCGATTGTATCAAGTTTGGATCATGTATTTGACATGTTATGACTTAATCTTATTTAACGAATACTGTAATGGCAATCTATTGCTCTTTCCTTAGTAACACGCACGTTGTCAATAGAAAACAGATTGAGTTGGGAACTAATTAGGCATTATAATTTCTCGTTACATTAGCCATATTGTTAATTGAACAAAAATTTAATGGGTAATTAAGCTCGTGCAGCTGTTCACTAAATGTTTATTCAATACATAGCTGGTCTTAAAGTTACAGAAGCTGAATAATAAATAAGTCCATTACGAACTGTCTTTGCGTGCTAGATAGTGGTTTGTCAGCGGACGAAAGGTGGTTACTTTGCCATGTTCCAGAAATATACCATTTCATATCATTCCTAAACTAACCGCCAAGCCCCGAATAGTTTTCACCATATATATAGTCGGATAAATCCTTTCTCCGTATGCTCTCTCGAGCTTTGCAAGGAGATGCTCCTGAAACTGTATGCACTGTAGAATGTATTCGGAGTCGAGATAGCTGGTCATTAAAGACACGAAAGCTGAACAACAAACAAGTCTGTTGGTAATAACAATCTCCACATGAAACCCGACGGCTTGTTGACCACAGCATACACACGTACCATCACATCAATGATATCTATCCAGAATATAGGTTCTGTTGTAATATCACAATAGGAGGGGGGTTCAGTTTGTTTGCTACAGTGTCTTCTACGTGTTAAGTCAAAGTCATATCCCCACCTCCGAGCTGAAGTTCGTGTCCGTGGTGTGAGCTTGTGAGGAGCGCCGGCAAGCGTTCCGTGTATGAAATTTATGTTCAAAGCCCTAGGAATGAAACATAGAGGTATACAAACAGTGCGAACAGCTGAGACAACTGGCAAATCCCAAACTCCAAAGGTTTTTACAGGATCTTTGGGTTCTCATTGTTGTTTGGATTTTTTGGAACCCCATTGTTTTTGAGTTTTTGGGTAGAATCAAAAAAACTCAGGAAATGTTTGGATTTTGCTTGTGTCGCTGGCCAGAATCATTATATTCTCCAGGTTTTTTTTTAAAAATATTTTGTAATGAAATTCAAAAAACTCAGGGAGCACAATGATTTCGACCGGCGACACCAACAAAATTCAATTTTCCTAGAGAATTATTGGGATTTCGTTACAAAATCCAAAACCCCTAGATAATATAATGGTTTTTGACCAGCGACACCGGCAAAATCCAAACATTTCTCAGTTTTTTTTGGATTCCACACAATCCAACACAAGTCAGTGAAAATCCGAGCCCAAAGATTCCGCAAAAGTCTTTGGATTTTTGGGTTTCTCTAACAGTTGATAATTTCTTATGCTAGTCCGTCATGAGGTTCAAACATAAACACAATTCAGCCGAATCTCTTGGCACAGTCTTGGGTATACACAGTTTGTGTAGTTCTGATAACAGCAAATGCATCGGTATTTACGGTGGCTTCTATGTGTTTTACATATAGAAGAAAGACGGCGGTGGATTAGGGGGGGGGGGGGTGGCCATATAAATATAAATGTAAATATAAATATAAATATATATATATATATACACATACATGTATCACACATATATTTATATGTATATATATATATATGTGTGTGTATACATAGATAGATAGAGAATGATGGCGAGATAGATGGTGCATATGTACATATGTAAATGCAAATACACGCATGCATTTGCAAACGCAATAGCCTTCGTGTGTCTATGTGTGTTTGTTTAGGTATGTACATATACATATACACATATACGAAGGTTTAGATGCAGAGCCTGGGGCGATGAGGTTTGCAAGTTTCAGGACAATTTACCCTCAACTTCCCTGAACCCTAAACCATAAACGCTAATCCGAGTTGCAGGAGCGTAAACCCTATAAACCCTGAACCCTAAACCCTAAACCCATAAATCGCTTGAGCCCCAGACCTTGGGTTTCCAATTTCCGTAGGTTTTATCAGTGCAGCAGTGCGTACTAAAAGCAGTGCCAGCCCGGGTGCTTCGTTTAGGGTTTAGGGTTGTCAACGGCTTCGGCTTTAGGGCTAGGGTTGCAGGGCTTGGGGTTTAGGGTCAGTCGTGTTTCAGATAGCTCCCCAAGCAGCAGTCTCGAAATCATAAACCGAAGTCAAGAACAGGTATTCCTAACGGTTTGAACCAACTCCCTACTCTTCGACACTCATCAGAGCCGCTGGCTAATCCTAGTGCCATCCTGAAGCTCACAAAACCCAGCATTGAGGCTGAATAAGTGTCCGTAGTTCTCCGTTCAGGTTCGGTTTGGGTGAACATAGGGCCCTGTTCTTAATCACCATGAAAGTCCAGAGCCGAAACGGGGAGGGTGCATCCAGCAATCCGAGACCGACATGCCATGACATACCAAATATAGGGTTTAGGGTTTAGGGTTTAGGGTTTAGGGTTTAGCATACCAAATACCATCCTAGGAGCCTTCCTGAAGCTCAGAAGACCACCAGAGGCGTCCAACATGCGAAGCACATGATGGGGAGAACGATTGGTAACCCAGAACATGTACGGCACTGTGGTGGGAGCACGACTTCGGGAGGCGAAAATGCACGGAGCTGTGGCGGGAGAGAGCACTGCGTTTGCAAGACGTTTCGGGAGGGAAGATGAGTCGTTTGCCAAAATACACGTTTCACTGTGGCTTTGAGCCTACATGAATGTCCACTCTCAATATGTGCCTTTGACAAGTGGAGGTCTTGTTGGCGTCATCTTGGCCCTGGTGCTGAGATTGTCGAGGCAGGTGTCTGGTTGTACTTTTTGGCACCACCGAACTCCTTGGAACATTTTTCGACTGTTTATCAGAACGCGTCAAGTCAGAAGCCACGCCAACCTGGCCTCACTACCCAGGAGCAGTAATCCTCGAGCCCTGAAGGCTCACCGGCAAGCACACCCCCGTGCATCATGCGCTCAGCATCACTGCTATGTTCGTCGTGTTGGCCAGCTTCGTGGCCAGCGCAAGCCTTCAGCGTAGCGACTGCATCATGGTGGCGAACAGGATCGGGACCATGGCGTCGTGCTTCCTGCACCTTGCAGAAATGGGGGTTTCTGAAAATAGGGGACCCTAATATAGTACCCCAAATAATAGGATCCTTATTATAAGGACCCCAAAATAAGGTACCCTAATTTTTCGGAAACTCCCAAATGAGGGACCAGCACAGACTAGCAGGGCCTGGCATGCCTGGACTAGCACCCAGCTAGTCCTTCTGACGATGATCGATCGTGAAGTTCGTATGTCTTGTAGAACGCTAGCCCTGTTCATTCAGCATTTGCTAGTTCATTTCTGCCGACTGCAAAGCGAAGTGCTTTTGCTTGTGGCTTTCCTCAGTGGAAAGCAACCAAAGGACTACAGGACTGCGTAATTCGAATGCTCCTGTAATCATTAGGGGCTTACACCTTGAGGATGCAATGTCCGTTCCTTAATGGGGTACTGATCTTGCTTGGTCAAACTAACTAAACTATTCTGGTAGCCGTTGCATAAATACACGCGAGAGGAAAGCTGCATAGGTTGGGGGGTCTTCAAGTTAGAGTGTACCTAATGGCTTGGGATGTTTCCGTTCAGGATTTCACGATTTCGATCCTAATTAATACAGGTTCCAACATAAATCTGTATACGTTTAACAACTATAGTACCCTTGTTTTTGCTACACTTAACTATAGATTTTCGAAAAGACCGGGTCTGAATGTCTCAGGACCGCTCATTGGTACGACTTTCACCCCTTCCTCGGCCTTCCAGGAAGCGGAGTGACAAGCTGCACTTTTGATATGTGCCTAGTGCTCACGTGATAAACTGTTTCCTCCTTGCCAGTAGAAGCAGTAGGGCTGATGATGTTTATGGGGACGGCGATGGTGACCGAGTGCTGTGCCGTAGATGATGCCGACATTTCTTGGTAGTAAATGCCATAGTTGCTGGCATGTTTCTGGTGCAGGTTGTGTTGAAGTGCTGTCTGTCTTTGTGCTGCCGAATATTACATGCCCACTGGCGCGACCTGGTCTCTAGATTCCGCCACCTAGAGTCTAGGCTTTAGGGTTTACCGCCGCAACCCTAAACCCTAAACCCTAAACCCTAAACCCTAAACCGTACTTGAGCCCATGGGCCTCCCTTGCACGTAGGATTTTCGAAGATGTGGTCCCTTTTGGAGCAGCGGTTCCTTCTGCTCATCATGGCCAGCTACTTCTGTTTGGTGGAGGTTGGGGTGCAGAGCCAGCATTTTGAGGTAACCATAAACCCTAAATCCCAGACCCTAAACCAAACTCACTGTCAACCTTGCCATGTGGGCATGGTCCTCCCAAACCATTCGGTTAGGGGTTCAAGGTTTGGGCTTTATAAGGCTTAGGACTGTAACTGTTTAGGCCCTAGGATTTCCCAGATGTACTGTAACTAGATCGGATTCTCATTTCTGCTGGCTCTGAACTTCCCGGCTTGTGTTACCCTGAATCATCCTGGGATCGTAACTCTGCCTTCGACATCCTTCGACTACAGGTGAATCTCATTGCCCTATCTAATCACGCTGCTCACCGTGTCGTCTCCTTTTCCATATTACTTGCATCTAGCCCAGTGTCTCTCGTCTAACAACCACCTGTAGCATCTTCCAAGTCTTCCCAGGTTGTTGAAAAAATTAAGCACGCACAGTTCTAAGGCAAGACCGCCGATGAACATCTTGAAACGCAAAGGCAAAAACCAGAACAGGAACACAAAGTCCAAAACAAATGTGGCATGAGACATAGGCTCTCAACATCTCTCAACAGCGTTGCTGTGCGTAGAGCTTTGAAGTGTCAGATGTTTGGATGTGTCAAGGTTTTGGCCTTCTCGGGCGGTTTGACATCTTGGGCTTTTGTCTTTGCGATAGAAACCGTGTATGCATCTCAAGAATCTCTTGAATTGTTGCCTGTGTCTACAAACCCAAACTTTCAAACGCCTCAGAATCCAATGTATTCTTGAAGCAGCGCACGCGCCCTCAATGCTATCTGCTTTCTTCCACCTGGGCTTTGGCAAGTGAAAACGGTACAAATCGAAAGAGAACGCGGCAAGAAAGCCGCAACCCGGCTTGCAACAACCAAAACATTTCAAACACTCCAGAAGTTTACCCCGAAGCTCCTAGGTTTGACGCGGTAGGGGCCTTAAGAATTAGAAGAGGGTTTCATGGGGGTTTCTTTAAAGGGCCCCTTGCAAGGGTTCTATAAGGGCTACTCTGAGTTCTTTCGATTTTTGGATTTCGGGTTTTCAGTCATTTGGATGTTTCGAGTGCTGAGACTTTCGGCGTGCAGACCGAAGCGAAACGAACACAAGTACCACAGCTAACCCTCGACGCGCCCGAGAGTCCAAAACTTCAAATCCAACATCTAGTGTGTTTTCTGGGGTCATTGCCCTAAGGGTCCGTGTACCTATTGTAGATACTTGAGGCCTACTTTATATGGACCCATCGGCCTGTTCAGAGGATGTTGTCAAGGGTCTGGCGAAACCCTAAACCCTAGCTCCAAGTTCAGAGTATCACGCCAACTCCCTAAACCCTTAGCCCTAAACCCTAAACCCTAAACCCTAAACCCAACTTTCGACCCTATGGATCCTCGCCGGGCTTGTCCGAGTTGTGAGAGTGTAAACCCTATCTTGATGCACGCTGGATTTTGACAAGAAGGAAGACCCTCTCCCTCTTAGAGGTTTTACTGCAACGCTTTGTGTTGTGTGAGTCCTTCTTTGGAAGAGTGTTTCACTTCGTTGCAGACCTCGAGCCATCTGCCTCGCCTGGATATATATATATATATATAACAGGCAACTGAGTCCGTGTGAGAAAAAAATATATTTATATGTGTTTTTGAAAGCGTGTTTGCGGTGTTTGCTTAGTGACCGAGGAAAGCTGGGTATTCGATCGTGATGGTCTTGTTCTCAGTCTCATGAGCCTGTCTTCGCTGAACTTTTGGGCTTTAGGGTTTAGGGTTTCAGGGTTTAGGGTTTAGGGTTTAGGGTTTAGGGTTTAGGGTTTAGGGTTTAGGGTTTTAGGGTGGGCAGAGCATCAGGTGATATCAGGTGCGTTTAGGAGTCATCCCGATCCATGGACTACCTGGTTGTGTTGATATCGGATAGGAACACATAAACTTCCTAACCCAAGAGCAGAAGCCCATCTCCTTGCAAGAAGTTCTATCCAGAGTTTAAGTGTGAGATAGCCTCACTTGGTCAATCAACATAAACCCTAAACCCTAAACCGTCAAGCTTTTAGAGTAGCCAGAGATGCAGGTCGACCGCATCAGCTGCTTGTCCTGGAAGGAAGCGACCTCGCAGCTCCGGACAGACCCTACACCCTAAACCTTCAATCCTAAACATTAAACCCTGACCCTCGAATCCTAAACCTTAAGCCCTGCAGTCTAAATATCGGATACCCTAAACCCCTAAACCATAAAGCCCGAATCCGAAACCCCTAAAACCCCCTTCAACCCTAAACCAGGACAGACTTTCGAGGCTCCATCGCACATGCCACATGCTCGAAGCCGGATGACGCCGTGCGGCGTCTCGGCTTTAGACGTTTAGGATTTAGGCTTTGGAGCTTTGCACTTTCGAGGGTTTGGGGCTTTGGGTTTGGAGCTTTAGGGTTTAGAGGGTTATATCGGGGGTTGCCATGGGTTCCCTATCCCCGAATGTAGGTGAAATCGCAGGTAACCTGTGCCTTACAGTAAACTCTTTGGAGAGTTTGGTTTTTGCAGTACTGCTCTGAGACGTGAACCTTTTGTTTGAAGTAAGGATTCATTCGGAGATCGGCGCCCAAACAAAGGACGTAGACTATGCCATCCAAGTGCTTCTGACTGCCGGGATGTCTACGCCGACCCTCCGGGACGTCGCCCGTGCAGGCGTATGGATTCAAGACGCTGGTCACGCCGAGATCTCTGTTCCGGGTTTGGCCCTGGTGCCATGTACCTGTATTGCGACACTGAGGTTGGTCGCAACACTGATACCGTTCAGTAGCTTGCAGTATATGGCGTGGTACTACGTTGTGTTTCAGTGTCTTCCTATACTCTGCAGGGTATTTCTTATTATTGTCGTTTGTCGCAGTGCAACGGACGAGCGCTGCTTCATACTGAAGATGATTACCAAGCTGTGTGTTGTATACCTCATTTTCCTTTTCCCCATCATGGTCTCTATGGAGTGGAGGAAATCACAGGATGCAGCAGGACCCATACTGACTTTTGCAGAAGCTGGACTGTTCCTGGCCACGTGTGGCTTCTCCTCCTGTGGTAGCTTGGTTGCTCAGTGGGTGTGTGCACTTGGGAAGGTTTTTACGGCGTCCGATGCATGTCTGAATCCTGGAGTGTAGTGCCAATTGTTGGGGCTTGATTTTGGATGCAAATCTGGGTCGTTTCCCCCTCTCCCAACATAAGCGACCTGCGCAGATAAGCAACCTGAGAGGAAGGAGGAGCGGCAACAAGGGCAGGCAAGGAGAGGGGGAGGCATGGGTGCGGGGCAGGAGGGTGCAACTGTCGGGTTCCGTCGGGGACCCGTCAGGACCTGTCCACCACACCATCCCACCCCAGCCAAGTGGCCCTCGACGGGTCCCTGACAGGTCTCCGATCCCTGACCAGGTCCCTGACTGGGTCCCTGACCCAAGCCCATGCACCCAGCCCCCTCCCCACCTAGTCTCGTGGGACGTAGGTGCACATGTCACAAACGACCCGGAAATCCATGATTTCGGACTCCACCAAACGCACCAGATTTAAGCCATAGGTTTTAGCACCTCATGTGGGTCAGACTTGACCTAAGCATTCCAGAGCTTTTCAATTAATATATGTATAAGTAGACGATGATATACCCCCAAACCTGTTGAAACCCTTCAATCCTCCATCTCTTTCTCTTTTGCTCTCCCTCTCTCCATATATGTAAGTGCATGCATAAATGAATGTGTATGTACATACATACAAACACACACACACACACACACACACACACACATATATATATATATATATATACATATATACATATATATCAGCAGCCCGATTTGGGTTGACCAAGTGGTAATAGAACACCCAGGCCTTTGAACCCGAAACATCGTCGAACCCTTCTGCACTCTTCTGCTGCATCTTGATATCGAAACCCCCAAACCCTTAAAACCTAAACCCCCACGGGCGATCCGGTTCAGCAGCAAAAATCCATTCGAGGCATGCGGGGTACGCTCTCCTTGCCTTGTGGCCGCTGCCTCCTACAGTTCTTCCTGACTCGATCCTGTGATCGGAAGGCTGGGTGTCGCTACGTTCCTGGAGCAGTTCCATGTTTGTCTTTGGCACGAATGAGCCTTTCCGAGAAGTATACGATCCTGTGCACTAGGACACGAATACTTAGAGTCTACAGTAAGCAGAAGACACAACTACTCTTGCGAGCATCTGGGGAGCATCGTCGCTTTTTGGGAACGTGTTTCCCCCGCTGTCGGGTGCAGTTAGTTCTTCAAAAGTTTCACAAATGCCACGAAAAACCCAAGCCATAAACAGCATCCACACTCCATGTTCAAGAAGCCCATCTCATACTACAGAAATACAGGGTTCAAGGAAGGACGAAGTCAAAGACATTTGTTGGCGGCTTTAGTGTCTGAAGCCCCAAGGTTCGGACCTGGTGATTTGACCGTGCTAGGGAGAGTTTAGGGTTTTTTTGGGTTTAGGGTTTCCCGGCTGATTGGAGAGAGCTCCGGGTTCAAAAAAGGGTTTAGGGTTTAGGGTTGATTCTAGGCAGTGCCTCAAGCTGTATTCGGACATCTGAAGTGTAGCAGAGGGGGCAACCGTTCTGCTTCGTATCGCGATCTGGGAGAAGTCTCAGCTCCTTGCTTAGTTACCCTCAACCATCAAGTCCATAGCGTCAGCCAAGCCCTCATTGGCCCCAAGCTCCCCCAATGCTGTCACAGCTAAAACCAAGCCTTCGCAGGGATAGCATATCGACACCTTAAACTCTGTAAAACTTTGCCTCTCAATTGCCCCCTCTACCGGGTTCAGATTCGACCTAACCATGCAGGATGCCCTAGACCCTAAACTATAAGCCCCACCTGTAAGGAGATAACAGAAGTTGCGTCCAATTAACGCTTCAGTGCCAGGGGAAAAAAACCCACCTGTAAGCCCCGAAGCCCAGAACCCTAGAGCTCAAACAACCCTAAACCCTAAACCCTAATACCCTAACGCTGCAGGCCCTCCTTCTTGCCGACTCAGACAGTGACACCGCATCCCTTGCTTCTTCGCCTTCTTCAACCGCTTCTTGAGGCGTTGGGGTTCTGACACTTCTTAATTCTGACACTTCTTTAGGGTTTAGGGTTGAGGACAGCACAGTCGGCGCCTTGGTTCCTGGCATATGCGTAGTCCAGGTGTAAAAAAGGGCACTTCTTGAGGATATGTGTCTTCAGGTGTTTAAGTCTCCTGTGAGGGTTGTCTTGGGCTCTCATACTTAGCCTCCAGTCCTTATGGAGTCTGGACGTTCATCCTTCAGCAGAGTATGCAGGCTGGGAGAACTAACGGAGCTTAGACTTCGGCAGATTCCCATGCTTTCCCAAATAGGCCCCTGAAGAGTTCGTATACTGTTGATGATATGAATCCTGCATTACCTGAAGGACCCTAGACTATGGGAATTAGGGTTTAGGGTTTAGGAGCTATGGGAATTATGGTATATGGGCATTGCTTAGCAAGAGGCACCGTTTCTCTAGTATACATGTGAGTCATGAAGTGATGACTAATGGCAAGAAATGGCTATGCTACGGGACCCCAGAGTGGCTACCAACCATCATGCGGTTCTTGTGATTGAAATGCAAATTATGAGCAACAGGTTATATATATATATATGTATATATATATATATATAATAACCACTTGAGGTACCAGGGGAAATGAGGCGAGTTTTGGGGATGCGTGGCTGAGACCTTATTTACATGTGGGTAGCGGGTGTCATGAAGCATGTAACGTTTAGGCCAAGAAACTCATCCCACCCATGGATGGTGGCCAAAGTCGACTCGTTGACATACTCTCCAGCCAATGCATTCGTTTCACTCTCGATTTGCTTCTTTGCAACCGAGACCTCAACGTCCCATGTTTTCATAAACCGTAGCATCGCCTCACAACAAGGGCCCCCAATGTAGACCACCATGGCAAAGGTTGAACTGCAACTCGGAATGTTGGAAACATTAAATAGGGTTTAGGGCCTAAAGATCAAGAAGCAACCACTTGTGCTTCGTGCTCTTTGGAATCATGCTGTCCTACAAGTAATCAGTATACTCCCCTTCAATCCGGTCAGGTGCTGGTTCGCTCGACTCGATGCGCGACCAAAAAGAGCAGAAAGACGGATAATAACAACCGACTACTCGTGGCTGCTTGGCCTTGGACGTCGCAGCAGGAGTGGTCGCCGTCGCAGTGGTAGTGGTGGTAGTATGTAGTAGCAGCAGCAGCAGCACTGAAAGTAACCGCTATCACTGCCACCGCCACCACGACTACTACCCCTGCCGCTGCAGCTACCACTACTGCGAACAGCACCACCACTGCTCCTTCTTCGATTGCTTCTGCTTCTCCGACTGCTACGACGCATGCGACCTAGACGAGACCACGAGCAGGACTGAACTAGCAATGCCTCCCGCTGCAAAATCAACTGCTGTTTCCTTATTGTGCCGGCCATGTTTCCCAATCACAGGGTAGACTAGGAAGGCGCCATGCATCTAGCCAGCACCTTCATCGTACGGCTTTGCATTGTGAACCGGACAGGGTTTGAATCAGTTTCGTTTTTTCTTCGAGCCTAGATCCAGCTTTCAGTCCCAGCAACGCTTGGAAACTCGATGGCTGCGCCAGGCACGTAGTGTCTTCGCGTTTTTTCGTGGCGACAGGCGGACAAAGCATAGATTGCCTCAGCACATAGCACTGCTTCACCAACAAGAACTTGTGTTCATGCCTCTGGTCTTTCATGCGTGTTTTTTGATCGGAGACTGGAAATGCTCTGATCGTAGCTGGACAGCAGCAACAGCGAGTCCATGCAGCCATGCGGAGCTCTTGCAGATACACCACGCAAGAGGCTCTTGCTTTGCACGAATCTGTGCCTCCCGACCATTGGTGCGTCACTCGCTCAGATCTGAAGTATTTGCGGCGGGAAGTTCGGGAGGCTATCCAGAATGGCGAGATTGGGCCACCAGATGACGGCACTGACGATTTTGCGGTCTCTGACAAGCAGTATGGGCCCAGCATCTACACTGTGAACACGCAGTACATCATGCCAGTCACGCAGGAAGCCGGAAAGGTTAGCTGGGCTTTGATGCGACACCCGGATGGCTTGGAATGTCACTTGTTCATTAGTCACGCCTGGCAAGAAGGTGTATTCGAGTTCCTGTCCAAAGTCTTACATTCTTGGCCCAGAGCTGCACGACATGCCTGGTGCTGCATGTTAGCCAACCCACAAAATCTGGATATTGGAGCATTGCTGCAGTCTCCCAGCAGCTCGCCCTTTGCGCTGGCTCTTCAGGCCCTGCACCCTAATAGAACGACGCCAACTACAGATAGATTTATGACCCCAAACTTTTTGGGCCCTGAAAGCTTTCAAAAAGGTGGGAGGCAAATGTGCCCAATCGTTAGCCTTTACTGCCCCTAGGATACTGGACAAGTCCCTAAACCCTAACTCCTAAATCCCTAAACCCTCAACCCAAAAAAACAAAAAAACAAACCCTAAACCGATCCAGGCCTCGACCTGGGTCCTGGTTGTGCCAAACCGCCACTGCAGTATCTACACGAGGCAAGGCTACATTCCCAAAGGGTCTTAAGTACCTGTATCGTAGAGTGTAGGGTGTCTATATTAACAACTAACTACGCGAGGGGGGTGTTTGGTTTCACAGCGGTTTTAGGATTCCTTGGTTGAGGGTTTAGGGTATCGGTGACGCGGGAGTAACTTACAAACCACCAGCATTTGGCTTTGCTAGTGTTTTGGCCGAGCATGTGGTAACACTATGGGTTGCGGAGCAGAAAGTATAGATTTTCGCCGCAGTCCTGTGTCGGTTAAAGCCTTCAATCCGTTGGGATGCCCAGTAGCCAGTAACGCAGATTGTCAGTGGTACGGTCATTTCTAACTTAGTTTGTATGCTTCATCTTGCTTCATCGCTCTTCTTGGGGTGGGGTGCGGGCCACACTTGAGGCATCGCTTCTTGCACTTCGTCGGGGTTGCGACAAGCAATGTGCGATTGATTATTTCGAACCAAACCCAGGATGATGCAGCTGGTATTGGGGTTTAGGGCCTTTAGGGGCTTTGGCGTTCAGGGTTTGATGCTTGATGGTTCGTGGCTCGGCCTCTAGCGACAGAGCATTCCCTGAGAAGGCTCTGGTGCAGCTACGAGGCATATGTTGCTCACGAAGCGAGGAAGACCATATTCGTGGCCAGATCCTCCAACAGGAGATAGCGACCCTAAGTTAACAAAAAAAGACCCTAAAACCTCAAGCAGAAAAAAAAGGCATAGCCTAATGACATCACAACCTCCGAACTCATTCATCGAGAGCCCTCTTCGTGGGTTTCGGTAAAGAAAGGTAGTAAGGCCTGGTTTCTTCGCGGTTGAGGTTGCTGCTATGGCAGGTAAGAGGACTTTCAATGTCTCTGAACCCTGACGATTAGAGCCTTGTCTCAGTACCTGTCTCAGCTTGTCGGAAGTCAAAATGTGGCATTAGCTGATATCCGAGGCGCGCACCTTGAACCGGGTTTGGGCTACGTAGGAAAGGAATTGGAGCCTTGATGGTCTCAGGGCAGGGTGGTTGCAACGAGAACAAACGGTGCAACATCTCCAACATCAGAGACAACAATAGTCATACGATTGCCGCGACCGAGAAGGCAAACAGAACAGAAATCGTAGGGTTTAGGGGTTTAGGGTTTAGGGTTTAAGTTAGGGGTGCGTAGCAAAGAGCCGCAGTGGTCGTGGTCTTGAGGCACTCGCGACTCCTGGCTCCATCGCTCCGATTCTCCGAAGCCTCCAACCCACTAACTGCATCCACTGGCCCACTCCTGCTTCCCCAGACCAGGAACCCTAAACCCTAGACCCTAAAACCCTAAAGCCCTAAACCCTAAACCCTAAACCCTAAACCCTAAACCCTTTAAACCCTCAACCCTATAAACCTCAGCCCTCCAGCCACAAATCCAAAACCCTTCTGTTCGTGGACCAGGTCTGGTGTTTTAATCAAGGGATGTACCACAACTGCCGTGTAGGGTTTAGGGTTTAGGGTTTTGATCAGAGCCTGGGTTTCACGGTTTAGGGGTGTAGGGTTTAGGGATCAAGGGATGTACTAGGATTCGGTTCATCAACATCTACAGAAGTCCTGAACCCCCTTGCAAAACCCTTCAACCTCAAGCCCTAATCAACTGCTGAAGCCCCCCCCAATACCTGCCCTACCTATCAGACCCTACAAAACCCAGTGAACAACAAACAAAAACCTTGAACCCAAAACCTAAACCCCTAAACCCTAAACCCTAAACCCTGAACCCTGAACCCTAAACCCTAAACCCTGAACCCTGAACCCTGAACCCAAAATCTAAACCCAACAAAACCCAGTGAGCAACACACACAAAACTCGGGGAAGGAGGAAGATTTGCGCTGCCCTGAGCTTGGCCCTCCTTGCAGGCCGGCTCTGAAATAGGGGGGGCTAGGATTAGGGTTTAGGGGTTTAGGGTTTAGGGTTGAGGGTTTAGGGGTTAGGGGCTAGGATTAGGGGGACCCTTGGGGATATAGACCCTCTCAATAAGGTCCCTTGTAAGAGAGCGAAGAGTAGGTTCAGAAGGGGTACCCTTTAAGGGGTACCCCTAATAATATTACCTAAATAGGGGGCGCTTTCGGAAACTTCTCCGACCGTCCAAGTACCCCCTTTTTTAAAAGGAGTATACCTTGGAGTATACCTTAAACTATGGTCGGATCCCTAATGTGATTTAAGGTAGACGTATTTTTCTCTGGGGGTGGTGGCCCAAAGCCACAACCCAAGTAATATCAACAAGCTCTCGTTTTGGAGCTTTCGGCTGGTGCTCTTTTGGAGCCGTTGCAGGGTTGCATACGGGATTCACTCCGGTTTAGAGACCCTAAACCATAAACCCTAAA